ACATATCGAAATAGAAATACAGCTGTAATGAAGTGACCTAGCGCACCGGACGACCGACCTGCAACCGAATAACAACCTAATGACATCACAGATAAGATTAAATATATAATAACATTAACAATATGTACGAGTTTGTGTTTCGGTAACCATATTCAATATTTATTGTTGCTGGCAACCTACCTTGGGGTATTCGTTTTCGGAATAGTGTTTGAATTTTATTGTTGAATAAAATTTAAGTTAAAAAAAAATGGTTTATTAAAATAATGGTCACAGGACAAAAGAACAGCATCCAATTATGATTTTCTATACTGAGTGCACAAAGCACTCTCATACAATTGAGTCTTTGCTGACAGATGACCACGCGCCAATTGTTCAAATCATTCATGTTGTACTTAGATATAGCCATATCTGACCGCGGGCGATCTCTGTATGAGACCAAAACAATTAATATGAAAGGATTGCTTTTATTCTAATAACCATGTCCATTATAGAAAACCTCGTCTGAATCAATCAGCCAACGCTCACGAGAAGTCAGTAAGTCTTTGTTATGGTTCATGTACCTGAACTCATGTACCGGGGTTTAACTGGAACGTGATTAATGTACTTTACAATTAAAATTGCGGAGAGTAGAAAACACGACCGCTCCGATTCGCATTACCGAGAGCTCCGAGCTCGAAAATGAAAGCAATTTGTTAAGATTACAGTCAAACCGCTCCTCGCAGATTGTTCATTAAGAGGGCTTTAACTTTTAACTTCATTTCTTTAAAATATAGCATTCCACGTATTATCTTTGATTCGTTAAATTTAATTGTCGTGAGAGCGACGTGTTGTTATTTTATTTTAACGATTACAGAAAAAAAATCATGTTCATATTATTAAATAAAATTTTCTTTACCTTTCGTTAAATCTCCAACTTGAAATACACAGTCAAGTAGATTATTAATGGATCTTAAATTAGCTTATTAATTTTTATATCTTTTTAATAGTTACCAATATAAATTATTCTCTGGCAAGCTTTGACGCGCTCTTTGTATTATTCAAGAACCTAATAATTAATTAAAAGCAAATAAACTGTAATATATCTATTTAGATGAATTTGTCCAAACGGTATTCCAGAAGATAATATAATAATAAACTATTTTAAAATCAAAACATTAAATTTAAGAAAACAGGAGACAAAACATCTCGAAGCTCCATAACTCAATGTAAGCCGGATTTAATTCCTTCTCTCCAAATGTTAGACCTCGCACGTATCTTTATACCAAACTTTAACAAAAATATATTCAAACATTGGTGTCACTAAGACGTTCAGTCTCGAGAGACTTCATACAGAAACTAGAAGTGTTACAAAGGTAATGTTTAATATTATATTGTATTTATATCAAGCATGGACTAAGACTTTAATTGAACAAAAGAAATATATAAGTTCTTGTCCTCTTAGCATCGTATTTATTTAAAATTAGATAATCATTCTCTACACACAATAAATTAAATAAATTCCCATCGACCCGCTCGTTATGTATTTACAAGAACATCGTCCGCGCATCTCTCAGGTGACTGTGTTTTGACAAACTAATTTACTGCTCGACGAAACCGCGAAGTAATCTTAAGATTTGAAAAATTTACAACATACTTTATAGCTATATAAATAAGATTTAAATTGGACCGACATATTTCATCGGGTTCAAAAATTATTTGGCACTCATACTTATTTAAAATAGAAGAAAGAAATGTAAAGAGTCGTGTTAATGTTCAATTTATATAGAACATGATGATGCCGGCTTTATAAGAGTATTTTTATATGAAGCGAGACTTTGAAGATATTGAAACAAATGTTTGAAATGTTTGTGCTTTATCGAATATAACAAAACAGGAGTTGAAGTCAAGTAAGGTATAACTAAAAAATTTTTATAATTTTTTCAAATGTAAAAATGTATATAAAAATTAATTTCTCTAAACATCGTCTTCGTTTGGTCAATTTACGTTTTAAATACTTTATCGTCGAGGAAAGCATGAGTAGAACATTCATGCAAACTTTCTATACTAATATTATAAAAAACTTTAATAGGAACCAAACAACGTATTAATTCTTCTATTATAATAAACAGTGAATTCTATTTCTAAGGGTGGTTACTCAACGTGGGAACACGATAATTTTTCTCCAACGGACCGATGTCTTAAAAGCATTACCAAATAATTTTAAATCAATCACTCCAACAATAAATCACGCGTAAATCCGATCAAATCCCCAAAAATCCCGACACGGAACCTTTATAAAGATCCGACTAAAATATTCATTAATTGATTCCTCCCTCAGATACCCCTCATTACTTGAGGGTTGATTAAGAGCAACCTGTTCCCTTTTATAAGACAAGACTCGCTTTAAACACGAGTAACACTTCATATTAATCGGTATCGTTACGTTGTCGGAGAGATTAAAAACAATTATAGAACCGAACTGGCACATAAAAATCATTTTAAAAATAACCTTTATTACTATAACTATAAGATTGATTATGGATAGTGATAATTAATTATATAGCGGTTTAATAATACAAAAAGTGTTAGTAAATAAACATATGAATGAATGAAATTTAATTAAATATCTTCGTCGGTTGTAAAGAGGACCTGAGCTGAACTGTGTCTCGCTAATAGGTTGATGTCATTTTGCATATCCCATTAGATACGAAATCCTGAGAGAGGAATGACACCACAATACGTATTAAAACTTAAACTCTATATAGTTCAATAAGAAGATATTAAAATCTTAAATAATAGGTAAAATAAAGTGATAATGAGACGATACAAGATGTTCTACTACACGCCAAAAGCCAGAGGCGTTCTCCAAATAAAACATGTATTATTAAAGTGTTCCATAGCTCTTCCTTTCCTACCTACGGATATTAATTAGAGGTAAACAAGTTCCCTTTGTAAGATTTTCATTGGGTTCTCTCCCTTATGACGTCACCGTGTGTAGTCTAAGAGACATAATGTCAATATTTATGTCAAAAGCTGTTAGCTCTCAGCTCTCGGTATCACTATAGGTCGTTAAGCGAAAGTCGAGTAACAATATTATAATCAGAGATTTTATAAGGAAGAATCATATTGAAAGAACTTTCTAAAGAGATTAAACAGTTGAACAATGTATAGGAAAATTAATTTATATGATTAATACATTTCCCCGCTATATGTAAATGTAGAAAGTTATGAATGGAACTATGTCAATCCATCATAATCAAGGCCAGAGGTGAGACAACAGATTACCGACTCTAATAATTGATTATTTATGTCATCTTACAGTCGTTAGTAATAGTAATTTAATTTAATATTTCTATATAACAAATACATCACAGCAATCGCGATTCTAAATGTATGATATATAGAGCGAATATTGCGTGATATAATTTGTAATTTGTGACGTGGAATGTATGTACATTGTACACTGTGTTACAGAGTTTGTAATATAATGAAATAATTATCGCGTATTTGAATGAAGCTCGTATTGATGAAGTCATAGAGAGTAATATACCATGTGGAAAAGTTGACACACTAATGTTTAAATATATGTGTTTATTTTGTTTTAATATGCTTCTGACTAGTACGATATACAAATATATTACATTAATACAAATTAAAAGAGACATATTAAATTGCATTTTGTGCATTTACCCAATACCTTTCATATACAACTATGTCTTCGTCTTGATTAAATTTACAATTATTTGATAAATACTGTCATAAATACAGAAGTTTTTATTAAATTCTGACACAAAATATTATATTATGTGTATAATAGATAATCGTATTTGTTTTGTTTTAACGGTAAAATAACAAACAGATCATAGTATGAGATATACAACTTTAAAGGAAATCTGTATTAAAGAGAACATTGATGGAAGCAAGCCAATGTGTTCATTCAGATGTGGAACGCGTGGGCGGACAGCGCCCCTAGCGGCGAGTAGCGACGAACTAGTGGTTCGTATCTGAGTAGAGAAAAAATGGTATGTAGATTGAAAGGTAACTGAATATTATGTTTTGTTTAAATACCAAAATTATTATCAAATCCAATAAGACATACGATAAAGAAAATTAATATTGAATTAAGAAAAAAGTATTGACTCTCAAGTCAAATAAAATAAATTCATTTTCATGGTGATATTTAAAAAATTGGCACGCGACCTCTGTCCCTTGAAGCCAACCACCTTTATTGGTGATTTAACTCCAATAGGCCATAAAAATGACGATCACGATTTTATAGAACTTAGAAACGAAAAAATGTTTTCTGATATAAAAATCTTAATTGTTTTATTTAAAAAATTACATAGTACCTAATGTCCATTTTAATTCTGATGAAGTAGCGTTTTGTATGAACTATTTCGATATCGATATTCGTCGTCACATCTGCGATCTAATTTAAAAGAACCCCAAGCACAAAAATAATGCCGGAATGACCGTTTCGCCCGCAGCATCCCCTGTTAATTCAATAGCATTTATTTACAGACTCGACAAATACGAAGGTGAAGGTAGATCGAAATTAAAACTTGAAGTGCATAGTTCGGGGGTTGGGGGTTCGCAACCCCTGCCTCGGGGTGTAAGGGGTGTACTATAATTATTGTAAAGGTAATGCCATGTGAGCATTTTTTAGGCCTTTATGTAAATTGACTTGGGGGAATAATTAATCGAACCGGAGGGTTTTTGTTGATTTGTTGCCAACAACTCCTGTAGGTACGGATCTATCTGTTTACAATACTATCAACGTTTATATATAAAAATTTAATTAATATTTAATATATACTACATAAGTATATCACTTTTATTGTTGCGTCATAAATGCTAATTTTAATGACATCAAATTTGTGTCAGAAAATATTATAATATAAGTGACGTCGGATGATAAACTAGTCGTATATATAAATGAAGTCAACATATTGTATCCTCGTTCTGTGCGAGGAATGTGTTATTTGTGTATGTGAATCCCTCGCACCATAATCTCGTTTCCGATGCACATCATAATCATACCTGCTCTACTCTATAACAGGATGATGCACGCGCTGGTGAAGAACGGGGGATTTGTGGACGGATTGAATATGGCCAAGTATTTTAATAATATTAGATTTAGTTTAAAACGTCTTTATTTTAATATGAATATAAAATATTATTCAATAAATAATAAAAATTACTTTTTAAGGTAGCTTTACTTTCTTAATTGTACTGCTATAATAAGTGATTGGAATAAATTTCAGTCATAAATATAACCATATAAAAATTAATAATTAAAGCAGAGAAACGTGAAACAATCCAGCGGAATCAATTATAGAAGTTATAATGTATGGTGGGACTAAAATAGCTTTACACCTTGTCAAAGTAACATATACGTGCGCCCGAGCACCAAATACATCACCGATGTTGCGTGACTTTAGAATATAATACATGCTAGTGATGTTACTGTATCGATGGTTGTGTAAGAATGAATTAGACATCTTACAGTTACATCTTTAGTAAGTACTCAAAAAATAAGTCTAAGCAATTTTCTCAACAGATTTCACACATATATTTAAATTGTTTTTAGGAGAATATTTTAAACAATATAATCATTTTTATGACACCCCATTTATTTTGTACAATAAAGTAACAAACATCAAAATATCACTGTTAATCTTGGATATGGCGGTATTTTTAACGAATTACATAAAATAAAGTATAACAAGAAATGTATGTAATTAAAAATTTGCATGTAAAGATATTATCGTCGGTACAGAGGTGCATCACTACGTATCATTACAGCGTCTTGATCACAATGACGTCGTCTTATTTGAATCACCTACTTAATTAAACACCTTATGAACACGAAACACTCGACAGTTAAGAGACTTCCATTTTAGTTTGAAGCTATTGTTAGAAAATCACATTCAGATTGCTTCAACATTTCTGTTGTTTGTTGTCTGTTGTGGCGTTTGTTCACGATAAATAATATTATTTCTATTAAATATAAAGTATTAGTTTAAAAAATATATAATTTTATTTATAAAAAATGTGAAGGGAACGTCTTCATATAACATCGCAGTTGGTTGGTAAACTAGCGAAATTTGTCAGCGCCGGGACTCGCCTTGAAAAACAAAATTTTCCGCAACACATATCATAGGCGAGGGGTATAATACACACTGCACACATGACCGCTGAGAAATACTCCTTAGGAACTTTATTCTAATTTATATGCTAAACTAACATATTAATATGAAAAATAAATTATGATAATATTTAAAATGATATTGGTACATAGGATTGTTTAAATCCAATTAATAATACTATATCTAGCGACTATTAATTCAATTATAAAAATTAATATATATAAAAGCAAGAATTTGACTGCAGATTTTATGAGAATAAATCACTGGTAACTAGTGGTTTATGTTTGATCTAAGAATTTTACTCACAAATAAATGTTTTAAATATAAAGTTAGGTTTATTTTGGTCAGTATGTGTGTGAGGTGGAGTAAGGGAGGGTGAGGGCACGGTCAGTGGGTCCGTTCTAAAGAACTGAATAAATCTGCGGCCCACGACAAGGTGAATATAAAGAATCCGCAGACATACTTCCCTAACTTATGTAGGGTTGACACGTGAATAGTTTAGAAGAATTTTTACAAAATATTTTACTTACAAGAAGCAATCCAATGGACTCGCTGTAATTAGCAGTATCTTTGGTGTAGAGGTCGTTAAGACTGGACCAGTACGACCTTTTTAAGGCAGATTAGCCTAATTTAGCTATTAAACTGCTTTACGTGAGAAGAGTAATAATAGTTTAGTTAGTTATTCCTACTCTTAACTGCTACTTCATTTGAATCAGTCTTATCCTAAAATTACTTCAAGTTTTACTATGATCTCTATAGAAGTAATATACCTGAGATTAATCTTCATATTTACTAGAATTATGATAGCCATAATCCAAAAAATGGACAGTCTTCTTTTTTGTAGTTTTTTAACATACAATTAATAAAAATAAATAAATAAAATTTTCGATGAATGTCAATAATAAAAAGGAATGAATATGATTCCGAGGCTTTAAAATCAATATCCATACCAGGGCAACAGCAAACACAACAGTTCCCAATTAAAATGGTATATATTTTTCATTCATATTAAGTTATGTTTATTAATTGAAAGCTAAACTAAATCCTTTTATCTGAAATAAACAACAGTCGGTCGTACATCCCTGAGATTCGCGAACCGAATCGTCCACCGTGAAAGGCGAGGTGATCATAAAGGCTCGGTCATGTTCTTACATAATAATATTCGTGATGCCCCTACCAGGGTCTCCTACTACCCGCTGGCCGCTTGCCGCTGCCCCCTGACGGTGTTCGAGTTTCTGTATTATGCTGACAACTTCTGTGATATATTTGCATTTTTGGCGGGTTGTAATTCGTCGGGGAAAATCGTTGGAACGAAGATATTGTCATGTGTAAAGAATTATAGAATAAAATATGAGTTAAACAAAGAATGAGTCTAGATTTTGTTTTAATCTTACCATTTGATATTGTTTGGACAAGATTTTATATTATTTAATTTCAGAAAAGTTTTGCAAATTATTTTCAACTTTGTTATGTTAGTTTTATTGATCTTAGAATGGAACTTCAGAAATATTATAATATAATAAAACCAGGTCAAAGTACAAAATGATAAAAAATATTCACTAAATTTCATATTTACATATTATTTATACAAAAAATAGTTTTTATTATCTCCATAGAAACTCTGTCCGCATTGCAGAGGGACCAGGAAATGGTCAAAGACAAACTACTCAGGCGACACGCGTCATAACGCAACGAATAAGGTAGTTGAGATAAATAATGCGATATTTCTTTACGAGCCGTGCCAGATATGTTGTGTCATGTTTGGTTGTAGGTACTTTAAATTTATAAAATCACTATTGTTGTTGGAATGGCCTGGTCGTGGTTCAAATACTGACAGCATTCTTCATACTCGTATATTACACTAACATTTCAAACACAATACGCGTTGCTCTCTTCTTTCACGTTAATAATTAATTACTGAACTGATTCAAAGAATATTTATAAGGAATCAATTAATAATATAATCAGTAGCGGACCACCCACCTACAGACATGACCGTAGTTATAAGCTTGTAACCATTCTTGTCAAGTCAACGCGTCATTTGATATAAAATACTGTCAAACGGACATATAGAAGTCTTCTCTGTTGTGGATTTTTTAACGCTCAATAGACTGTGTCAGCTTAAATTACTATACGCTCTTGTTGAACAGAAATGAATTTAACAGAGCAACGTTATGGTTTTCTTTGTTGGTTATTTATTTCAAAATATAAAAAGATTTTCATGGTTTCTTATAAAGATTTATATATAAATGAATGTCAAAAAATTTTAAACTAGATCGAAAAAGTTTTCAGAGCTGACTCGCATATGTATCGTATTGAAAAAATGCACCCAAAATTAAACTTTTTCATTTCAATCACCAGTCCTTTGTAGGTGAATCTTTATACCTTCAAATGAAACCGAGCTCTTTTTATTCTGTCGCCCCGCCGCAATCACACACTTATTCAAACATTTCTGTTTCTAATTTGCTTTTTTATAAACAGGGGCCTGCTTCTCTCATAACAGAGTCAAAGGATTTTATTAAAAGACTGACAACAGGTAGACGACATTATTTGACAAATACTACACGAATACGGCACGGCTTACGAAATTAAAAAGTACTTTCCTTTTACAAATGTTAATACAAACCTAATCAAAACAGGCTTTACTTAATTCTCTGAAAACAAAATTATTCAAAAGCTTATTCAGTAATTTTAATTTTCAATTAACCAAAGTACCGTCAAAACAATAAGCGTCATTTATCCGCTGTTACCTTCATTAAAATACTTATTCCAACTTCTTAATTACCTGTAATATAATTATTTTACCAACCGGAGACTCGCGCTGAAAACTCATTAGAAGAAGCGACAATCTTCATTATTTACCTTGAGCTCTAATTAATTCCTTGTCATGGTTTTTGCTTCGGCGTTTGAGTTATATCTTTAAAGCTATTGGAAAGAAATGGGTTATACATATTCGTATAGGTCGAAGAGAGAGAGGTGGATGTCTCCGGTAGCTGATTACCATCTTTCGGCAATTAGTAAAACACACAAAACTCCACCCCTGGCGTGTTCTGCTCCCCTGGTAGGTGATGCTTAATATTCTACCGTAAATTACTTGAAAACTTACCGCCAAGGTGGGACTAGATTTAAATTTAAATGCACTTGGAAGTGCTTGCTGTCCGCTGATAAGATGTTCCCAGTTTGTTGATTAACTGCTCTCTTGTACCTAACTAACTACATTATAATATTATGTATAGGGAATGTATAATAATACGTAGAATATATTTGACATGTGCTCACTGATCGTGTGTCCGGTTGGTGATGTATCTGAGCGAAACAAACCCTCGAGAGGAATCGTTGAAATTCATTACATTATTTGGAGTTTTTAATTAAATTTATTGTATGTTAACCGCCTCTGGATGGATAATCGGATCTTCACACGAATCCATTGTAAATTTTCCGCGCGACTAAATGCGAAAAAGTTGGACAAACGAATAAAGGTCGCCAGTTAATGGTGATTTTAAAATTCCGACGAACTGTGGTGACCGATTTCCAGATTTAATTTATTTGATTGGAAGGTAATTTGATTTGGCTTTTCCTTGTCGATTATAAAAATATTTTCCATCATGAAAAGAAATTTTGAAAGAAAGAATACTTTGTAGTATCATATTATATACATATTTATGTATTTTCAAAACCGAACCAGATTCACACTTCTAAAATTATAAAGGATCTACAGACGAATCAGTCTCGGCACACCTCGCCACTTGAAACATGGCTCACACATAGGGGAAATGCAGCGTGTAATACTAGTATTACGAAAACACGAATATTGGAGATATATTTGGATGAGGCATCTGAGAAAAAATAAATTAATTTGTAATTAAAATATTGCTTTAAAACAGCATTCCTTTATAAAGTCAAAGTAGATTTTATACTGAAGTATAAACACTTAGCATTTCGAAATATTCATAGCATTGTATGTAATTTTAAGCATACAAAATTTGGTAGCTATACCGTATCCATTAATACAAATCACATACGTTCATGATTTACCTTTTTATCTAACACAATAGTACTCGAAACGATTGCCGCGGGCGGACTCTATGTTTGACCGACAGATGCAAGCTCATTCTAATAGTTTTTTGTTTGAAAATTGAAAATTATTTGGCCACTTGAGTTTGTAATTCGTTTGAATGACGTGCGCCCGTATGAGTGTGTAATGAATTTGGAGATCTAAAATTTATGGACATTTTGAGTCGTTATATAAGTGTATTATCTAATAGATTTGTAACTAATGTTTTTATAGGGTATTTTTTAATAATATTCCTGACTCGTGTGTAGTAAATTAAATAAAACAGGCGGATGTAAAACTGATCGATCTCATCTCAAAGTTTATCGTAGCACCTGATCTCGTAATTCTAGATATTTGCGAACAGGGACGGACACTCCACAAACTTAATTACACCGCCCGCTCCCGCGCCCGCGCCCGCTTCCTCGTCCGCTCCCGCTCCCGCACCCGCGCCTCCATCAACGTCTACATTGATTGATGTGGACCGGTGAGACTTTAACTAATGCGAATTATACTTTCGTATGAAGCGAAAATTATGTTCTATATTTATACTTTATATCATTGTTTGTTAATATAATATTTCTTCCCATATGTGTAATTTAAAAAAAACTTTTACGTTAAATTGTATATTACTTCTCCAGTTATCGTATTAACAATAATACTGTTAAAATTTAATTTATTTTAATCAACGTGTTGTATTTAATATTAAAAAATTAAACGTCAAATATTCCAGTTTCTCACTTATAACACAATTCGTGGTGATAAATAACGTTCTAAGTTGAATGTAAACTTTTCACTAAACTGGGCTAGCGTGTACAGATATCAGCATAATTAGAGCCGCATTAATCAACAGCAAGTGCTAATGAGCTGTAGGAATGCGTCGCTGTAATGTAATTGTATGTGCACACAATACATAGCTTCTTATAGCTATTTACGATTGTGTATCCATACTTACCTACAAATCTTTCAAAGATTAATCACAAGTTTTTTCACTATTCCGATGAAAGATAACAAAGAAATCCTTATTATTAATATACTATACATAAAAAAACATTGATTTGGCACCTAACCTGCATAAATCGAGTGATATACAAGTCATATAAGATATTGTTACTATCAAAATAAATGGGAACTTGTTACACAAGACTGATCTCGTGTGTCTCTTTAATAAATTCCATCTTCTAATTAGAGCAGGAGATAAGTGGACACAATTAATTGCCTTGCTAGGGACAATGCTGCGGCATGCGTTCCTGGTAACACCTATTCTCGTCTGCGGTCTGACTGACTTCGTTAATTATAAAAACGAATAACGGATTTAGATCATCTCTCTAAAACATTGAAGTACTCATGTTTATATCGGATTAAAAACAAATTAAAAGAGTGTTTTTATTTAAAGAGAGAGACGCCAGCATTACTAAAGTCACTTCTTTCAGTATGTTCTATGATATTTTGAAATGAAACTTCGATTCCTCTAAATGTTTTTGCATTTTTGGAAGGTGCTTCATAATCACATTCTTCAATCATACTCTCTCACAGAACTCTCCTGTCGTACGTCCATACGTATTTATACCAAAATTCAAACACATTTCCATTCTCCTTTTAAACAGTCCTTGATTTCGTTTTGCTTTTAACAATAATTACTACTAATATTTTTTTCGTCATTAAAGCTGATAACGTCGATGTATATAATATTGTGGTGAAGTGTTTTCGTCGGTCGTTTAATATTAAAACTGTACATAATCTTTCCAAGGTAGTCCAGCCACCGTGACGTCTAGACTAGACTCAACTAAAAGGTCTATCCAAGTGCCAGCCTCAGATAATAACATTAAAATGGTAATGAAGACATTAGAGTCAGGAATTATACACACTTAGAACTTAACAGTCGATGTGTGGAGAAAAATCATATTTTTGTTATCATACATATAATTTAATAAGTACCTTTATTAAGTATTGTGTGATTAAATAAATGTTACTTAATTTATTATTTACCTCAAGAATTTATTCAAAATTAAAAAATCATGACTTTCGCTATAGATCATTTTATTTATTTATTTATTAAATCATAAAGATATAAGACTATTCTTTGTATTATAGATTGAAAAAAAAACTCAAAATATATTATCATATAAAAAAATATTGATTACTACTAGTTTACTTCACATTTCTCATAGTTTCATTAAACCATTGAAAAGAATGTCTCATTTGCTCACCAAAACGCTTTTTAAATTCTAATATTAACACAAGTTATGAAATATAAAAATTTCTTTTCGTATGAATATATTGTTCTACAATATAAAACTGCAACATCTCATTTAGAAGATGGACCCTAAAAGCTTTTATTTACGATAAAATCTCAATACACACTAGGTATGATTTATGTATTATATATTGGTAGGGGGAGCTTATCGACTGTATCGATGCAATAAGCAGTGGAAAGAAATGAAAAACACAACGTCTAAATGTTCTACGAGCCTTTGTAAAGGTCAATACAGTAATAAAAGATATTAAACCTATTTTCAAGATCAAACACTATGTCCTCTTTATTCCTTGTTGTTTAATTTATTTCACTATTACCAGACTTTCTCTTACAGTCAATTGCTATAATGGTCGTATTGATAAATTCTTTAACTAAAAACTATTTCGGCTGGAATGATATCAGAAAATAATTATACTTAAACTTCAAAGAAAATTGAATTCAATGCTTATGACGTGACTCTCTTTCACTGAACATTAATCGGTTCTCTATTAACATATTAAATCACATTTGAATATGTTCTGGTAAATGAACAATATAATATCAAATGTTATGTTATATTTGAGTGTAATTACAGATGCGTTAATTGCGTCTGCAAATCGCCGTCACATTTTCACGGTCACGGCGGCCACATCAAAGAGTTAGGGCGCCCCCCTCCCGCTCGGACCCTCCACAATGTGACGTACTATTAACGAACATACGACCAAATATAGAGAAAACTCATTTATTACAAAATATTCATTATTGGCTATATAGTTTGATAGAGTTAAATATATGTAATACAACATCGTCTGCTTAATGATCCTTAGTGGAATAAAATCTGCTGTGAAAGTCTCTTCTCTCTTAATAATTGATTAAGCATTCATTAGAAATAGACTGGTTATCCATATTTAATTAGTTTTTGGTGAAATTTTCGTAAGCTACGTGTGGTGCAGCTATAATAGTCGAACGTTGTATAGAAGGGCCGGTGCATACCTCGTAGGATCGAGATTCGACACCTGAGCATTGCAGCCCTCGTGTGGGGGAGGTCAAATATATGTGGAGACGGATTTCTTGGCAAACATTATAGTACAGCACTTAAAACGTATGAGGTGATTAAATCAAGTACTAATATATTTATTAATAATATACGCTGCTTTGTGAAAATTATAATATAAATATTTGTAGCGTACGTTAAAAGTAAAGGAGAGTCGTAATGAAAATTGTATACTCAGAAACTATTAACAGCAAAATAAATTACCTTTTTAATTATCACTTATTTAAAGTCTTAACCAGTAAGTTATATGTGTTAAAATGTTTTATAATGTATGTATATGAGTAAAGCCGTCTCTACAGTCATTCATCTTGTTTTAAACAGATTCGATCTGTAACATTAGGGGGTTGAAAAAATCGTCACAGGAACAATTACACGACATCTGCCGCTCGCTCCTGTACAATTTATGCTGATTGGATTCACACTAGAATATTATACTTTATATGAAATGCTAATATCAGAGTCACTCAGTTATAAGTCGACAAGTTATTGCATTGAGTACCAAACTACTCATTCTAAATACGACGAAACATTACGTTTTTACTTTGGGTTATTAAAAGTAAAACAAATTTAAAATAAAAATATGTAATTAAAAATGAAAACGAACAATGTGAATGCAATTATGAGCAGTCTCGTGCAGTGTGCTGGCATCATAACAATAGGTAATTTAGCTGTGGTTATAGGAATATCTAGTTTTATTGGTGGCTGGCCGGCTGCCAGGTCAGGTATACATTGATGATAATGCGTTTACATTTCATATCATAACCGTTTGGCATCGGATGCGTTATTATAGCCAGCTTTATTGGAATCCGCTAAGGTGAATGATTTTTTAAATGCCACGTAATTTATATATTGCGATGCAACGAAGATTTTCAATATACATTATTTAGTTAAACCTTTGCTATTCTGTAAGGTAAAGTTTGTATTGACTGAGAAAACAAAGTAAACAGTTATTTAAAACCAAATTCAACTTTGTTGATTAGCTAGTATTAAATATTATATTTAATTATACCACGTCACCCGGTATACTTCAATGATAGATCTATGTACGACGTCTGTAAATGAAAACATTCATTTAAATTATAAAAAATACATTTACGAGTGCATTTATCAAAATTATATTATACTGTTTATTATTATCATAATATAAACAAAATTAATTAATTAATTAACAAGTAAATTGCGTTATCTTTCATTAAAGAGGTATATTGGGACATACTCGTAAACTACAGAATTGCTACATTGTTTTCCTAAATACGAACACGTGAGATGATCGCGGCTGAGTTCACAAAGCTCCTTCGTAATAGAGTAAACAGGATTTTCTAATTGCATTTTGGCTGAGGAATTGCTTGAAGCTGATGTACCTGATGGCTTTGTTTGTGTTATATAACGGAATATATTTAGATGTGGTATATATTTGTTCTACTATTCTATTGAATATTGATATACACTTGTACAGAATGACGGAAAAATGTGATGAATGCAGTTTTGAATTGCAATTTAGTGGTATGATTATTTTACATGGAAGTGGTAATTTTGATGATGTAACTAAATATGTATATTTTAAATGTATTTAATTACATAAAACACATAACACTCTATTATCAAACTGTAACATTTTCGAACAAATAAGTATTTATGTGTCTAATATTTTGTCGACTGAGTTAAAAATACTTATAAGTAATACATAAATAATGTACATTATTTTTTTAATATTTTTAACTTGATGTTTGTACGTTTTATGGTTGCCTTTTTTTTAAGATTTACTCTTTATTAAAGTTATAGTTTTTTTACATATTTACAAAGTCATAATATATCATTCGTCCTGTAGCTTTAATTTAATGGGTTATAATAATACCTTAACGTAAGTAAAGTTTAATAAATATTTACCTTTGGAAACGATAAGTTATATGTATCTGAACGTTTCTGTTTCATAAAGGAAGGATTGATTTCATTCAAATAATAAACAATAGAGATATAAACAAAGAAAGCTTTAATGGAACTTTGTTAATAATAATTTCCCAGTTAGTTAAACGAAGAACAAACAGACACAAATAATTCAAAGGACAGCAACAGCTGAGCCCCGTCCGGAGCGCAGGTTTCCGGTGAAAGTACCGGAATAAATACAACTCGATGTTTAGGAGGTACGAGCGTAACACGGGCATACTGAAGCGTGTTCCTCATATACGATGAACAACCGATAACTATTATTACACTACCAGGTTTGTATTGTAGTTAAAAGAAACTAATATTATCCGGATTATACCACGTGCTTTATTTGTGATTATAAACTACATATTCCTTACGTTTCGGCTACTTTACAGCAACCGTGATCACGGGTAGAAGAGATGGACCCGTGATCACTGTTGCTGAAAAGTAACCGAAACGTCAGTAGTATGTAGTTTTTTACAAAAATAAAGCACGCGTAGTATATTTTAATAATATTATATTCATTTAAATGACTACTCACGAGTCTTAGATTTAATTTTTTATATGTAATCAATCTATTTTCATGTTTGTTATAATAAAGCCGTGTATAAAGGTATTGCAACAGTTTAATATGTAAACTCAATAACCAACTTCTCTTCGGCCCAGGTGCGGCGACCGCTCTCTAAATTTAACGTCTTTATTTGTTTTTCCGTCTGCAGTGTTTTAACGTGCTCCATAATTGGAAGGTAGTTTTTAATAACAACACATTTCTGTATCGCCATTAACATCCAGAGGTATCGTGTTCAAATCGTTCTTAGTATTCCAACGTTTGGAACACCTGCCCTTTAAAGGTATAAAAATATATTTAATATTTTACACACAAAGGATTCCTATTTATAAATTAGTGATTTCGTTTATATTGAAAGAGTTTTATGTTGATTTCAATGAAATATTTTGTTATGTATTAGTTATATTCTGGCAATTGACATATTATCCAAGCGACAGATATTATGTTCTTACGATAAATCCTTTTTGTGTCTGATGATTTTTTTCTAATGTTGTTGAAATCTGGCAAAATTCCTATTAATATGAAATAACTACAATAGAAATACAAATGATCTAATTTTCACAGGAAATAGAACTATGATATCGTGCTATGGAAATACAGGAATTCATCCATCATTCAGATAAAATGATAAACAAACTGGGTAAGAGCATCAGGCTGAGATCAGGTCAAAGTGTTGTAAGTAGGAAAAGTTCGGAGCAATTAAACAAGGGTAAAGATAGCACATTAATATTTGATAACACAATTAATTCGCTCCAGAGGTTCGCCTCGTAAAATTTTCAATTTGCTCCGTAGAAAGTTTTACCTGATAAACGTAAAGTTAGGTGCGGTAAAAGGAAAAGTCCTTCCGAGATAAGAGGGACGAGTAGCGGCATGTAATTACATCTCGGTACTCGGCCCGAGGAATTATAATTTTGTAACTTAGTTTATTTCGCTCTCGGATGGAATGGATTATAAAAAAATATTAAATTCGATTGTTTTTCCAATAAAGTCATTGTTTTTTCTTTTTGTTCAGAATTTTGTTTCGAGTAAGGAATAATTCATATGGTATTAGTTTTTTTTTTTGTATATTTTATAACAAAAGAAACTTTGTTCGTATACTCAAGGCTGAAGAGTAAAGAAAGCATGTTTATAATAATGTGAAAGTATTTATAGCAGGAATGAATCCAAACCATATTTAATAACAACCACACGTCCAGTGAAAAACAAGATTATTTTAAAATAATGTCATACAGCTGTTGTTATCACATATTTAAAACATATTGATCTTGAGGTGAGAATTCCTGATATACTTCGAATATTCATTTTAAGGTTGTAACAGAACCTGAACCTTTTTCATATACTTAAATGAAACTAATTTCTAATTGCTACGTATTATTTTATTATTTTAATAACTACATACTTACTCCCGACGTTTCGGTTATTTTGCAGCAATCATATTCACGGGCAGAAGAGATGTGTATTATAACAAGAAGTAATCTGAAAATATTAATTTCGTTTAAATGAATACTCACGAAAGCTTTAGATCTCATTACTTCTTTATATACGCCTAAAAACTTTTTTATAAATAAATGAATCAGTGTGAAGCGTCACAATATCTAGATTACACTTCAAATATCCAGTAGATTTAATGAAGTCAATTCTAACCGTAATTGTAATCAAATAAAATGTAATTAGACAGCTATCATTCACACCTAATTTAAATACGTTAGAATGTGATATACGAGCGAGAGGATCGTGAGGCATTTAGAACCCGACGGCCGGCACGACCGAGCGACGACACCGACACGTGAACGCGGCGGGAATGCAGAGATGCATTTATAAACGACACCGATACGTCAACGATTTATCGACACGCATTTACCTCTCAAAAGGTGAGCCCTGAATTAGATTGTTATTCATTGAGGAGATTTCTACTCCAGGCTATTTTAAATGAAGCAGATTTACTAAGTACTTATATGTTACGTTGGATGATTGGTTAGTTGATCCGCTTTTCAACAATTATAAAAAAGCTTTTATGAAGGCAAATAGTAAAGAAAAATAACAGGCAATGTAATATATAAATAACTGGGGAAATATATTCTATTCCAAATATAAATGGGACTAAAAGGAACTAAATTTACCTTCACCAATAAAAAGTGTACTCTACATATGATTCGTAACTT